AAGGAGGATAAGCAGACTTGCAGGAGGCTAAGAAGGGGGCTGGGATGAGCTTTTTTCTCTCTTGGGGGACACTAAAGTCCTGGACGCAAAGCTCCGACAAAAAGTGGACGGACACTTAAGCTGCTTACAACAGCCTAATGGGGACAAGATAAGGGCCACACAGGACTGGACTGCCTCATCACTTAAAACACACTCTGACTCAGCTACACAAACAAGACACATGCAAGTGACAAGTATTTTGCTCTGCTTGCTGTTCCTGTAAACTTCTGCTAAGATAGAAAAATTGGAGATTGAAGGTCACAACAATATTGGACCTGCTTGTGTGTGTGTGTGTGTGTTACTGTAAAGGTGGGTGTCATTTATTTTAGCAACGTGAATGTGATTCAACTGTTAAGATTTTTGTAGATGTAAAAATGAACCAGTGTACAGTTAGTGAGGCATATCGCATACTGTATATCAAACTGTTTGAAACATTCAAAATTACTAATATTCATAAGCACACACACACAGTCCACAGTCAAGTGCTGTACTGGCAGTCAATTAGTGGAGTTCTCCACATTTGGAGAGGAGGCCAATTAAAGCTAAATCAACAAAATCAATCAAATCAGTCAGACAATGCAAAGGGGAAAACAAGGAGAAATAAAGTGAAGACCTCAGTAGAGTGAATGTCAAAGCGCTGAGGAGGAGTACAGTTTCTCCTACTCACACAGTAACAAAGAAAATAAACAGGTTCTACATTTTATATTATTCATGATTGATTATTAAAATAAAATTAAAACGGTGACCACACTTCAGCAGCAGCAGAACATCTGGTGAGCAAACGAATTTCATAGAGTATCTGTAGCTCAGGTATAGACCATAGTATTGCAGCAATCTTGACCTGCCACCTTCACGCTCTGAGCTACCTGTCTGTGTAACAGCTGTTACTGTTCACACTTTCACCCTGTTAACACATGGTGCATTCGCAGACAGTGCGCACACTGGCTAGATGATATGATTCGCTGTAAGAGTCATTTTTACACACAGCCTGAGGATGCTGACAGGTCATCCAACACTTTTGTCCAGGGAAATGTATCTGCACAGCTACTGCTACTACTGATGAGAAATCCTGTTTGAATGTTCACTGCCCCCAGACGATGATCTTCAATGACTCTGGTGATTGTTTGACCTGTTTGCCATCAGCTTAACAACATTTCCTCGATAGCTCTTTTACCAGCATAGAAAAGGGGTGCAACAAGGGAAAAAAATCATTATAAACAGGTGCTTTGGTTTAAAAGGATTCGGAAACAACTGGTTTAGAAAACATTAATGTTACAGCACTTTGGCTTCTTGTTAAATGAGGAAAAAAACCATCTGTAGCATGTTATGCATAGGTAGGTTTGTACAAAAATGAAGGCACGATGTTAAGCCCTAAATTCTAATAATAGCCTACTTTGTGCACTTGGGTATCGAACTAGTGCAGACAAACAGAGTCCTCTTCTGTTAAATATAAACGAAACAGAAGATGAAAGATGAAAGCACACAAATCCAGTACAAGAGTAAGAAACAATGTATTCATGAACATAAGACCACACATACACAAAAAAAAAACCCTACTCTACCTAATGGCCCTATTATTTCTGATTCTTAGCGTTTGTGACTTTGCACATAACATACACTCCTTCACACACATACATAAATATGCATCCACACACCTGCAGTAACCTGAGGATGCTTTACTATCCGCCCCCGGGGGGAAATTGCTCGTTCATAATCAAAACGACAAACAAATGGCCCTCAACTTGGCACACCATTTTGGAGTGACTCAAGCAAAACAAACAGCGCTGTGACAGAGAGACATTTAGAGGGAGAGAGAGGGTGTCGGAGTAAATCAAAGGTGAAAGCAAGTGCAGCACAGTGGCTTAGGGATGCACAAGTGATCACACACAAACACACCGTTTCTGCTCTCAGCCTCTGTGGAGTCTCAACCAGAATAATGAATTATTGGTGGGCGCTGAAAAGAAACATTACGCTCAAAAAACCGACGCAGATGCCAAGTGAACAGGCGTACTGAGGCTGCACGGCCAATTCAACATCCACTCATACTCAACTGCAGCTGGGTATTGTTCCAGATTTGCCAGTATGTTACTAGCCTGATGATCAGACTGAATTACCATTACGTTTCACTTCATTATTCAGTCTCATATGTGTTAGCTGTTGTCTGTTAAGGACGAGTCGTGATCACAAATCCTTCCTGCCAACACTCTTTTCAATTCTGGTAACGGTTGCTAGGAGCACTTTATTTTTGTTTACATTGATCATAGAAATATTTAATATCTAAGTTGACTTACAACAATATGTATAGCTGTGTCAGTATCAACCATGCTTTCCACTATTTTCATGGCCCTTTTTTTTCCCTTTTTCTTTGCAAGAAGATAATCTCCCCATTATTTATCCTGCCTATAAAGTTGTGATTGGCTTTTTCCAAATGAGGAATTTGATTCACTGGAAAAATCAGTTGGCAAACACACACATACATGTATGTTTAGCTGCAAGCATTTTTGTTTTCAAAGCTTTTCTTGTTAAAATCATAAAAATCCAAATTTTGGTTCAAAAATCAAAACGTCAACAACAGTAGTGATGTGCAGTTTGCAGTTATACCCGCGGGCACGATAGTTATTACACGGATTGGGCAGACCAGGTCATAAAAATTAACATTCTGATTAATAGCGGCTGGTGGGTGAAACAGAGTGAAGCCGCTCCCCATTAAGTGAGATGCTGTGTGTATTTACGCACGAGCAACAGCACCGTCTTTACTAACTATTTAAATCTCCCGACACACAGGCAGGATCGGTCAAGATCTAATGTTAATCAATGTTTTGTGTTCTTCTGCCCAAACATTCACGCACAGAGTTCAGGTTCATACAGAGAAACAGTAAAATAGCCGTCCTCCTGATAAATCCTCTGGTATCTCTGGAGCGTGTCCTCTGTCCTGTCAAGTTTACAGTTTTTACTTTTGCTATGTAATTCCCACCGTAACTGCTGCATTGACATTATAGTGTGCATAGAAACATTTAACATTACTGAAAGTAGCCTCTCTATTCATCAACGTAAATCGTTAAAGATCACATCAATACAACACAGAATAAAGAAATCATATGGAAAGCTTGCACTGCTCTACATTATTTAAAAGGCAATATGGCCTACAGGGGCAGGTAGAGGAGTGAAATTTCCATGCGGGTCGCTAAGTCTAAGAAATTAATTATTTCGGGTGGGGTGGACTTGCAGACTTGGATGAACTCAGAGCCCATCTGTGAATCACTATTTAACTGTGTCTTGCAGGAATATTCAGTGTAGTATACTGATTAAAGATGACAGTAAACATGTGGAGAGCGACTTTCAGTGTGAGGGTGAGGGGCAGGTTGGCTGGTTTGAGTCATGTTAATGTCAGGAGCTCAGCTGAAGTTTGGGATCACTCAAAGGTTGTGTTGAGGCTAGCACAAGGTAATAAGTGGTCAAAGTCAAAGTTTAAGTGAAGGGTTAGAAAATGTGCATAATTGGTAGCAGGTGTAATTCAAGACGCTTGTGTGTATGTACGCATATGCCTGTGCAGGGCTTTAAAACATGGCCAGTATGGCTACAACATTTTAAATCTGCAGGCTATTTGTTAGTTTCACAAGCCAAATCAGTTTCATTGTTTGAATTAATGAATGTCACAGTTTCAACATGCCTAATGACAAAAATGAAAGCTATGTGTATCAATAAGTATATACATTAACCATTTCATCATTATAGCATAACAATAATCCTATAAATTTAGTTTGCAAAATGTGTGTAATTTATATACTATATACTGCTACAACTTAGTATGAGTACTTCTACCACCTACCTACCTATTTGTGCAGAAATGTTTGATTGATTTGATTATTCTATAAGTAAGTAATCAGAAATGTTAAACAATTAGCTGTAGTAAAGTGAACTCTAACACTGTTGTCTCCACTGAGGTAAAAACTTAAAGAAAAAGCAGTGAGAAATCAAATCTGACTCTGTACTGTACTATTACATAATGGGAGCAATTACAAGCACAAATCACGTTTATGGAACATCTACAGTACCATACAAACACACACACATTCTGTGGTATCTGCAATCAATGATCTATGAAACATGCTATCACAGTTTAAACAAAGAGAATAAATGTGTGTCTGATTGCTTCAGTTGTTTTGTCTCACCATACTGTATGTTACACGCACGCACGCACGCACGCAAACACGCACGCACACACTCTGTCTCTGCGTTATAGCCTCGCCTGCTAGATTTATCGATGCAGCAATTTTTTGTCTGTCTTTGTGGTGTGTAGGTACGCCAAGCCATTTAGGATATTGTAATGCTGCAGCGGTTAAGTCTGGCACGGTCATGGGAAAACACACACACACACACACACACACACACACACACACACACACACACCACACACACACACACACACACCACTGTATCCACACAAACATTTGTTCATCATAGTTCTTTCTGTCTTTCTGACAACCAAAAACTGGTTTTAGAGTCAAATCCTATATCCCTAAAATGTAAAAGCCTGTCCATATGCTTTTTTATACCATCACCATAATCCAAAATGTAACATCACCTTAAAATGCAGCCAGAAATGTAACAGATGATCCCATAAAGGGGCTGCTTAATAGAATTCAGTGTCATGCTGTCGCATCTTCTGTGCGAGTTGCTATATTTGGACCAAACTGTGCAGCCAGCTTTATGTAAGTGTACATTTTATCAGTGATCAGTACATCTCTCATGTTCCGATAATACAATACTGTATATTTTGTATTAGTTGAAGGTCCAAGTGGTATTCAGTTCCAATCTACAACTTCACCACTAGAAGCAACTTAATCCTACAGACTGGTTCTTTAATTAGATCATCTACTGAGTGAGGGCTGGTGGTGGTGTGTTGGTGTGTTGGATGGTGGTAGTGTTGGCATTTAATCATTGTATGATGGTATACTCACAGTTGACACTGGTCTCCTTTGATGCCCTTAGTTGTACAGAAGCACTTCCCTGTGTTGACATGGCACACATTGGCATGGCTGTTACACTTGCATGCTGAAAAGAAAAGACAAAGATTAAAGGGAGGGGATGGGACGAGAGAGAGAGAGAGAGAGAGAGAGAGAGACGAGAGAGAGAGAGAGAGATTTGTTTTAACACAAATTTAACACATCTCAAAGTAGAATCTCTTGTTGTTGTGGAGACGTAATGACATTTTTCAGAACACAACAGTTTCTTAAAGACAACTTGTGCAACTACTACTTGAGCTAGACAGTAATCCTCGACAACTGCTGCTCAGCATTCAGCACTAAAACCTGCATACTGTATGTAAAAACAATTGTCTTTTAACATTGTGGGGATCAATACTCCAGCTGAGGAAATATTTGCAGACAGAGAGAGTGGAAAATGAGTGTGTGGAGGAGAGAAGGAAGATACTGAAAAAGGTTAAAAAAGCAGAGATGGAGAGAGAGAGAAGTGAAATGAGGAGACGAATGAAGGCGGATAGAAAAGGACAAATCACTAGAGAAACACAAAGCACATTGTGACTGAGTCATCCCCACTTTGCACTAACAGGTGTTAAGTTCCTGATTGAAGCGTTATATCCTTTTTCCCTGTTGTTGGGCAAGACTGAACTTTCTGCATTTACATAATCTGATTTATTGCTTCCACAATGTGATGCATTTACTTTGCCCATTTAAGCCCATTCTTCCACGTCTGTCTTAAAACAATACTAACAGGACCACCTTGGGGAAAAACTTAATATTCTTAGTCATGCTAACAGTAGATCTTGATGGCCAGCAAAGTAATAAGTACCTTTCATTTTGTGGAATGTAAAGAACAGTTAAGCTGTGGGGCTGCCAGTGGGACATTTGGTCTGTTGTCGTTCGTAAAGATGGAAACATGCAAGTCAAAGGCCACAGTCAAATATGAATTAAGACCACAGTTGAAGATGAATATACAGCAGGTCTATGTCTATGGGCAAGGGAAGCAACAAAGTGTCAGTATCTGGAAGGACCGAAAACAATGGATCCGTTGATAACCTGCGCCAGGCAGCTGGAGCATGGCGAGCAGGATCACACAACGGAGGTCATCGTAGAATCGCAGTTCTTGCCGAGGGCTCGGACCTATCACTGCCTGTGTTCCGACGACAGCTCGGCATTTAGGAATCCAGTCAGCGTAATCCTTTTTAGGAACTGCTGGCGCTGAGATGCAAGATATAACAATGTATAGCAAATATCAATCCAGAGGACAATAATTTACTGTGCAATCTAATTGCCCCGAATGATGCCAAACTTGACTGGTAGTATTTGTGTGGTATCTGCTAGTCATCGAATCTGTTGTGGTTTTACTGTTTTTTCTCTCTGTGTACAGGGTGTTAAATATAATAATTATATTCATATTATTTCTCTCTACTGTTTTTCAATTACTCTCTATTTTACTGTTTTTTTCTCTAGTCCAACTTTTGCTGCTGTAATATTGGAATTTCCCCATTGTGGGACTATTAAAGGAATATCTTATCTTATCTTATAGACGTGGTTAATTTTGGGTGTGTGTGACGACGTGTGTGAAAACTGACTGTTTGCTTGAAAACAACAACGCCGGCTGCTGAAGAGATTAGCGTAGATGCTGCTTTCAGAATTGGAACTGGTGTATTTCTTTATTTGGGTTTTTCTCGATGGAAAATATGTTCTGCTCTTCTAAAGACTATAAGAGTTTGTTATATGGTTGAAGTTCGTGATAGACAGAGGGTTCATCCAATCACTTGCCAAGTATTCTTTGAAAGCGCAGTTTTAACGACAACAACTTCCCAGATGGTTCTGTGTAACAACCATATGCTGCAGTCAGGTTATGGATATTGGTAGTGCACCAGGGAAAGGAAAATAAGATGAACATCAGATTTAAGATGTGGCCAAAGTAGAAAAATTCCCCTCTGGAAAACTTCTGGAACATTTTGAACTGCACAAGGTAACATCCTCGATGGCAAAATTTGGCTTTTGGAAGCAATTTATTGTAGGTAGACCACTTTTCATTAGAGCAAAGAGATGGGAGCCTTTTTTGGTGAGTCTAATCTTTTTAATCGTTTTGTTATGTAAAAGCAGGGCATGATGTAGCCGGATGATTCACATGGAGCCGAGCCTGTAATTTAGATACTAAATCACTTCTGCATGGAGTGACTAATGGCAGAGACAAACAAGAACGTTCTCTATACCCTTGTGTTATGGTGTGTATGTGTTCACATCCACACAAGGCCACTCTTTCCTGTGTCCCTCTCCAGCTGAATTGACTTTGTGCTTTGTTCTTATTCTTTCCAATTGGCACAGAGACAGGCCCTGCAATAAAACAGTGGTGCGCTCAGGTCAAGGTAAAGCCAAGGGACCAGCAGATAATGAGAGGAAAACAACATCTTCTATCCCTTCTCCTCGTCTGCAAGGTAGCAGACATAAATGCTGCTTTAAATATTTTGATTTTTGAACACAAAATTACACACATTGAGCAGCAGAAAAACACGGCTGAGCAGTGAGGCATTTAAATGTCAGCAGGCTAAAAGTCAAATTGACGTTCTTCAACTTGAAAAACAGAGACCCTGACAGCAGAGGTGTCAACAATAACAAAATACAATTTCAATCTATTACTTGAAAATTACATTGACCTGTCACAAAGAGAGTAAACGTTTTCAGGGATGCACTGAACTATAAGGGCTGGGAGATAACCGAGTCTTAACAAAAAGTGGCTTTTAGACTTGAGATAATAGACAAATCACAGGTGTGTTAGCGCAGGCTCGGGTCACCCTGCTGTTCATACAATATTGATTTGGTAGGCAGTCAACAAAGGCATACAAAGGGCACAGCTAAGAGAAATGTGCGTTCATGCACTCAGAGATTTTGTCAATGGCACTTGAGAAAAGCCAATAGAGACAAAAAGCAAATAATGAACCAGAGATGAAGAAAGAATTTGTGTTAAAGGCTTCAAAAGCTGCCAGCAACTTGTTTTGGTTTTGAGGTTTGCTGAATACCACAATCATCTGTAAAGCTTCACACACAAGACAACAAGGAGACTTGGACTGCTCTCAGCTTTAACCATCTAACTGTAATCTCAAAAGCCAAATTCTACGTTTAATTACAACACTTGAACAGACAGACATAACATAACCTCTAAGAAAAAAAAGTCCAATCATTCCAGATCTCACAGTAAGAAACACATTAACTTTGATTTTCTTAAAACAAACATGAAACACTGTAATTCCTTAAGCAGTAAACAGCATCCTGCTTCCAACAGAGCAGTCTCAGTGCAGTCCAACCCCCTGCTCTGCACACTATGATGAGGGCTGGGAAGTTAAAAAATATAATGCTACTCAAAAAATTCATCTCCAGTTATGTGCTCAAATTAAATAACTGCTTAAAAGGAATACTTGAATTGATAAACAAAGCCACACTTATTTCAATAATATGTATTTTTTATATTTTCCATTAAGTCCAAATATGGTACTTCGGTCCATATGTAAGTCCATATGAGTTAACTTGGTGTCCAGCCCATGTAGTGGATAGGTAACTCTTTTAGTATATAACAGCTACAACTATGAATCCTGGTCTGTAAGCAAATAGGTTACAGGAAGCGGTCACATTTCTGTGACATGAAAGACACAAAAGATGGGATATACAGTCACAATATAAAGACAAAACAATGGAATACTTCAATATGGCTGTGAGAGGCGACAGAGGTCTGTTTTCTGTAACATATTATTGAAATATAGTAAAACAGCTCCTTAAGCATTTGATCATTACTGAAAGCCAATTAAACTAAGACAGGGTAAATTTATGAGTTTTTATAAGCAGACCCAGCAGAGCTATTTTATAGTTGGTCCTGAAATAAAGCAAACATCTAAACAAGTAATATAATCTAATCTAATGTTGGAAAATCTACTCTGCTAAAATCATGTGACACAATGTTGACAAATGTGAAGGTAAAAAATAAATCTTAAATCTTGGCTTCTAAGGCAATACCCTTACTAGCATTGTAATAAACTTGTATAATTGATTATCAGCTATGGTGTTACAGGAGGCAGACTTTATCAATTGTATCTCATTCTGTATATCATTTATCAAGCAGATTCTCTGGTAATTTATGCAACCTCATAGACAACTTGTTTTACATTATCTGTATTTTAAATGTCATTCTAAAGTATTACTGGTGAAAACATTCACCTCAGACACATTTCCCTGTCTGTCTTTCACCTTTTATATTCTGTGCAAATGCTGTTGATCAAACTGTAAACGAGGCCTGCAGGCTATTACAAGATGTTACACCTTTATCTAAGCTGTCAATGTGGTGTCATTGTTGAAAGTGTACAATATTCAAAGTATATCAACTTCTACCTCAAACTACTGAAGCTGCTGGGACATTTATGCATGACAGCTGCAGGACAGATAGAAGACTGGAGGCTTGTATGACTGCTCAGAAGTAAAATAGACGCACAATAATCAAACAGGTTAATGGAAGATTGGTACTGTCTGCTAAAGCTAATGAAGGACAATGAAAGGCATAGTATCAAATATCCCCCACCTGTAAGCTTGAAAGGTGGTTCGGCAAGCTCTGTAGGTTGCTTCTGGCTCCTTGCTTTGCAACCCAAGTTAGTTCTTGCTCTTTGTCTCAATGTTCATCTGTGTGGTTGCTTAATGTATTTACAGAATGTTGCTAAAAACATATTTTTTTCACTAACATTTTTAGTTGTTAGTTGTTGTTTTTTAGAAATTGGACAATAGACATTTGTTATGTTTTTGCATAATTTGATTTTTTTCATCTGATAACTTGGGCCATCAAACAGATTCATGTGCATTGTCATTCTTCCAATAATGTAATTATGAATGTCTGTAATATTCAGGGTCCAACATACTAGCTTGAGATAAGCAGACAAAGAGATTAAACTCACAATCATCACATCTGACTCAGGGTAAGATGACAAAGAGTCACCCTTCCATTTCCTAAACGTTTTATTCCAACAGAAAATGGACATGTCATAAGAACTGTGAGGGGAACTTAATCTACCCCTATGGGTAAGG